TGGCATTTTAGCATTTCTTTTTGAGTGAACAGAAGACTAATCTTTTAGGTCCAAAATTCTTCTATATTAAGGAATGAGTACTGTGTCAAAATCATAATACTTTTCAAGAAAGAAGTCAATAATACTTAATTTGGGACTTATCAAATATTAATGATAGCTCTATGAGTACAATAATAATATTTATCTCTATTTGTTGGTAGTACCTTTATTTCTACAACTAATAAATGGTATTTTACAATCTGAATGAATTTTGAAGAGGATAAAATGTATACTATTTTCCTAGGTTAATGATTACCTTTAAGAAACATAGCAAGCACTAAGCTGTATTTCTCATGATGTAATTCCCCTAAAAAATTGTGTTTCTTTATATTAATTGGAAGCTGTACTGAGATTTCAATCAAGTGTATATTTGCTGAAAATAGAATAGTAAAATATCCAGAGATATTGGAGAAGCCATAAAAAGGCAACATACAATGCTATATATTTAGATTTCACTCAAAATTTCTCAACTGCTGCTTTGGATTGATAGTTTCTAGGGTTTTCAAAAGCATCCAATATTGGTGAGAATGAAAAAAAAAAACAAAGCTACAGAAACAAAAGCTGTTCTGTTTTACAGATACCTTGCAAAGTACAGAAGACTTAAAATGGACCTCTTTTTTAAAGTTTAGATGAGAACAGGAAAATGGACACAGGAAATTGCTCTGCCTTGAATGAGTTCATTTTCCTGGGAATTACAGATGATGCAGATATCAAAGTGACCCTTTTTGCTGCGTTTGTCCTGGTTTACCTCTTCGATCTCCTGGCGAACCTCGGGATGGTGACCTAAATCATAGTGGATCCCCACCTGCACACCCCCATGTACTTCTTCCTCAGCCACCTCACTTTCTGTGACCTCTGCTACTCCACAGCAATTGGGCCTAAGATGCTGGTGGACTTGGTGGCCCAGAAGAAGTCAATCCCTTTCCTGGGCTGTGCTCTGCAGTTTCTGACCTTCTGTGTCTTTGCAGACTCAGAGTGTCTGCTGCTGGCGGTGATGGCCTTCGACCGGTACAAGGCCATCAGCAGACCCCTGCTGTACACAGCCCACATGTCCAGCAGGCTGTGCTCCCTGCTGGTGGCTGGGGTTTACCTGGTGGGTCTGACAGATGCTCTGATCCATACCACACTGGCTTTCCACCTGTGTTTCTGCTGGTCTAATGAGATCAATCATTTCTTCTGTGATTTACCTCTACTTTATCTCCTTTCCTGTTCTGACATAGAGATCAATGAGCTGGCTTTATTCACCGTTTTTGGATTCATAGAACTGAGCACCATCTCAGGAGTCCTTGTCTCTTATTTTTATATTATCTTGTCGGTCATGAAGATCCGCTCCCCCGAGGGAAGGTTCAAAGCTTTCTCCACCTGCACCTCTCACCTCACTGCAGTTTCCATTTTCCAGGGAACGATTCTCTTCATGTACTTCTGGCCCAGTTCTTCCTACTCCTTGGATCAGGACAAAATGACCTCACTCTTTTACACCCTGGTGATTCCCACGCTAAACCCGCTGATTTACAGCCTGCAGAACAAGGACGTGAAGGAGGCTCTGCAAAAGCTCAGAAGTAAAAGGTGTCTTTAAAACCTTGCCTTATATCTAGAGGTAACACACATGTAATGTCTGTTATTTGGAAAAATTGCATTGCATTTTGGACAACAAATAGTGGCACAGTTTACTTATTGAAATACGCATTTAAACTCATTTCATTGTAATGAAGGGCTGCAGAACTCCCCACTTGCCAGGATCCATTATTATTGGGAATTGATATGCGGTAGTCCCTGTGATAAGTTTTCCTGATTTTCACAGTTGTGCTCCAGTTGGTTTTCTTCATGTTCTCCCTCAATTGCAATTGTACTGAGGTTGATTAAGTGTTTATGAATTAGATTTTGCAACCGTGTGCTTCGTGACAAATCTGGTTTATTTACCAGTGGATCTCATCTTGTAAGAGAAGGAATACAACTTCACTAAAATGAGCAATCAATCCATAGTAAAGCTTTCCACAATACTAACGTAAAGAGAGTGTGGCTGTAATCCTGACCCAACTTCCCATTTAGTGTGGAGGAGAAGTCTTTCTTAGAGATATTAAGTCTGCGACCTAAGTAAAGACATACAGGGGACAGGAAGAGATGGGAGGCAAGTGTCTTGTCAGTTAGAGAAATCCTGAGGAGCATAGAAGTTCATGAGTCCTTTATGTTTGGAAATAAAAGGAATATCACCGTTTCAGGGAACAGAAAGTAATTTGAAAGGCCCTGGTCAGTGTCTCCATCTTTCTTTCCTTTTTACATTCTTATTATTCAGCAGTAACAGATAAAAAACCAATCCTTTATAATATCAATTCATTAAAATGACTGGACCAATACTTATTTGCACCAATACTTCTCTGTGCATATGTTATATTTCTCTAAATGGAGGTGCTCCATTCTCTGGAATTCATACCTGTGCATATTCTCTCTTGAAAACATTCCTGGTACTTCTAATTTTGCCAGATTTTTTATTTGCTTATTCTGCCACTAAAGTATTAGTACCATTGCATCAAATTTTGTCAAGTTGTCACTCCATGCTTTTGGCATTTCACTTTTTCATGATCATGACAAATCCATTCATTTCTGACCTAACTGATCCTATCATCTCGTGAAAGCAAGAGGCATCAACTAACTAAGCATCCAAATTGTTCGTAAGAAGCTTGCAGTCCTTCACCAAATCGAAAGGCTGAATTAGATAAAGGAGGGGCAAACATCGAATTCCACTGCACAGCAGAGGGGCACCCCTGGATGTCCACATTCAGCCTTAGTTATAAATCAGCGTAGACAGGGAGAGGAAAGGGTTCCAGGCGAGGGTCCAATAGTTATCAATGTCTTCCAGTGAAGACGTCCTTCACTTTGACGAAGTGGACGTCTTCTGCGTGGCCAAAGAGTGACAGACACAGCCTGGGGAAAGATGCCTGTGTGTGGTTATTGCTCATTGTAGAATGGTAGTTATCTCCACGAAATGTTCCACTTTTCACCCCACTCTGTCCTTACTAAAGGTCCGGAAGTGTAGTCCACAGACCAGTGTCTCCGTGAGGGATGCGTGAGGCTTTCTGAGAAGCTGCGTCCAGTGTGAGATTGTGAGTTCTCCCGTCAAGGACAGAGTGTTCCACACCTGTGGTCTGGTGCATCCGTGTGGTGCTTGGGACTGGAGATGCAGAAACAACCACGTAAAAATTTTCAACATGAGATATTTTTAGTGTTATCAGATGTTAGTAAATGGAGAGCAACTTGCAATGATATGTGCTTTGATTACACACGTATTCATCTACCTATGAATTACATAAAATCCTGGAGATCTAAACCATGACTCCCCAGTGCCTGAGGAGGGGGTCTTCCGGGAGGTGGCGGGTATTGGGGCGTCCGTTCTCAGGTGGATGAGCCCGCAGGTCACTTGTAGCTGAGGATGAGGTGAGGCGGGGCCTGCCTGGAGCTGGGGAGGAGGAGCGAGGTCTGCAGAGGTTTCTCTCCCAGCCGGCTTCTGCTTTCGCTCTCTGCCTCCTGACCACCGCGTCGTGAGCAGCTGTGCCCCGCCGTCCACCTTGTGTCTTCGAGCTGCACCCAGCGGATGGGAGGAACGGAGCTTAGAAAGTGAGCCGGCGTCACTGCTTTCTCCTCCCAGAGGGTGTGGGCTTTGACTTTGTGTCCCAAAGACGAGAATGTGACTAAGACAGCACACACAGACACACACACGGACACACGCACGCACTGGCACAATTGTGTAGCAATCAATCCCCCGCTGAGGTTGCAGAAGGCAGAAGTCACCTGCATCCCTCACTGTACACAATGGAATCCCGACCTCACCCTCGGTTGTTTGGGCCCACAGGTTTTGTGCTGGTTGCCCTATGACTAAGAACTGCGCTGTGACTCCAGACGCACCTCACGTGCACGGTTACTCTAAGGTGTCTGCAGCTCTCATGGGACATTTAGCGATCTCATAGCAGCCACACTGTATGTGAAATGTCGTGATTCACATATCATAAAAGGTCTCTTCGAAGACAGCCAATCCGTAGGCTTCTGCAGATTTCCAGCTCGCAGTATTTGTGTGCGCAGTCATTTTTCCTACTTTCTGTGCAGTCTTGGAAATCATCCAATGCACCTGCGTCATACAGCATTTTCTCTTAACAACAATATGAATAATGTTGGATTGTTCGAGGAAAATAAATAAAACACTACTTCCATATTTGGTGACCCGCTGTATCCTATGATCTTTAATACCCTTGGTTGAAATCATGCCATGCTTATACGTGGGGTTTAGATTCATTTTCAGGTCATCTAGGACTCTAAATTCTGTAGAGAACTGATTCCATGAAGTTACAAAGTGTGATTCCATCTAAACATTCTTCAGCATCTCATGAGGGCAGCCACATAATCGCACTTTTCAATGGGATGCACTTCATAGAAATCTAACCAGGATTTGTTGGGGATGTGGTTTCTTAAGTTAAAAAAAATAAACTTATCTCTGAGACTTGATATCAGTATCTCCATTCATTCAATGTGGTTGTTAAAGATGGTGTAAATTTTGTGATACACAAAGTAGTATATAAAACTCATGACAATGTACTTCTGAAATAGTTAATAGACTGAAATATGTAGCATTTGGCGAGAACTTCAGTGATCTCAGTTTGACCTTCAAGTTCATTTCTAAAGATTTTTGTAATAAAACATTGGAATGTAGTGAAACATGCAGGTATGTACACCATTACCAATTTCTGAGACGTTATGGTATAAGTATATCTGCATTTCATAGGAAATTTTCCTCTTCCTTCTACAATTATGTTGAGAAGCTGGTAGGAATAATTGTACATTACTTAGAAAATGGATGAAGTAAAGAATTTTTCATCAAAGAAGTAGAACCAAAATCTTTTTAAAGTAAATTTAAGACAGTGAGTTTACGATTTTATTTTGTTTCAAAATCAATCTATGCAGAAAGTATGATTATGTCCAGGAGATACGATCCGAGCATTGAAGCCCAGGAACGGCCGGGGTCTGAGTGCGACCTCGGTCTGCGTGTCGGGTCACGTGGTGAGTGGGGAACACACACGAGGTGAGCTCTGCGCACACCGGGACCAAGCAAGAGATGAGCCCGCCTGTGCCAAGTGCCGCGCGTGGCAGCCTGCACCTTCTGCAGATCAGTGAAGGCCCAGGAGCGGGACTGTGCTCATCTCACAACCACCTCTGAGGAATCCGAGGTGCGGGCCTATGTAGGTCCTGCTTGTCACTTGTCCTTGCTGCCTAAGTCAGCCTGGAAAGAATAAGTCTCTGATCAGCAAAGGCAGTGCCCAGCTACCCGTCAGGGAGCGACTGCTGGCTCAGTTCAGCTGCAGCAAGGGGCTGCGTGGCCTCCTGTGGGACCCTGCAGAGTGGACACTGCCTGGGGCACCACAGGTTCCTGAGAGCCCAGGACACCTGCCGGGTTTAAAGCTTGCTTCTCCGGGTTGTGCTGCATCTCAGGGATCCTTCTGTTCAATAACACTGACTTAAGGGTAAGCACTGAGGAAGTGCTTTCCACACTTCGTTCCTTGGTTTGTGTCTGTCTTCTAATCCTACACGCATCCTCCTGACACCTCTCTTACTGTCCATCCCTGAGAGGTCAGAATCGTCAACTCTCAGATTTGACTTTGGATTTAGGAGGCTCTTCTTAGCTCTCTTTCTGTTCTTCTGTGGAACTTCTAATTCTTACACCATTCAGCAGGATAATGCATTTCTCCCTGAGCCATGAATATATCTTCCAGGAGTTTTCATCCTAGCATTATAATTGGTCTGCCCCGGGAGATTGCCATTATTTTTTGTGAAATAAGTTACACAAAGAGTATCTCACAATTTTTCCCAAACTAGATCAGTTTCCTCAGACAGTGGCAGAACGCTCAGCATTCAGGCTGGTCTGTCTCACCCTCTCATCTTGTCACCATTGGGAGACTTTTCCACCACTGAACAGGAGTTGGAGATGGGGGCTAAGATCCACTTATTAATTAAAATTTTATTTGTGTGCATTTGTGAAGTCATAAACATATTCATCATGGGGTATGGTGCTCACACATATTGCATGGTGCACCTCTCTTCTTTCTTTTCGCCCTCTGTCCTTCCTGCCCTCTCCAAACATTTGCAGGTCAGGTTACTACATGCAATTTTATATATTGATTATGAATGGTTCTTAATAAGAGAAATGGAGTCTCAGCCAGTCACAGGGCAACTCAGCTGGAAATGACACTCTGTACCCTCCCTTCAGCTTGGTGGACTCTTAATTTTAGTTTATATCAGGAGTTGTATCTAGAAATTCTGCAAGCCTTTGCCAGTTTGCACTCCTTAAAAGAAATAGGTGAGAGGTCCTATTTCGATACCCCATCTCCCACCCCATTTTCAGGGGAAGGTATGATGAGGCCAGACAGGAAGTGTGCAGCTGGTGGAGGAAGGTGATAGTGAAGAGAACACCACCATGAGGCAGCCCTACAACTCACATCTCCATGTTGGGTGGTAGAAAAACAGACTTCCTAGTCTCACACATGGTGTGCAGGCACCTTGTAAAGAGCAACTCATTTGGCGAGATCATCATACTGTTCTGATATGAGCTAGGCTTGTAGTTTTTAGCAGTCACTGAGAAGGATGCCTGTCTGCCAACTTATGGGATCAGCATGGCCTCAGAGGGCTTTGGTGTCCTCCAAATTCCTTGGGTGACAGGCAGAATACTTTAGCTCAATTAGAAGGTTACTTGAGAAAGAGTTCACCCCCAGGGTGGAAATACATTGTACTTAAAGCACATTATCAGTTCTGATGACAGATCATATTTGAGCTGGCTGTTACGCTCTCTTTCAACAAATTACCAAGCCTGGAAATAAATCCTTCTTCTTCCTCTCTCATTTCTTATGCAGACAATAAAGGTACATATTATGTTTTACTTTGATTCAAACATCCTTCCATGTAATGGAAGTTAAATTCTATACGTATCTGTATCTTTTGCACTGGGAAATAACACCTAATTACACCAAATTTTTAAAAATAATTTTTGTATGAAGTTTCAAAATACTAATGCAGATATGCTTTGTGCTTTCCTAGCTTTATTTATGACAAGATGAATTAAGATCTAAATGACAAGTGCTTTTTGTATAATGAGCTCATATATTAAGTATTATGATTTTGTCAGTAGCAGCACTGTGATTCTTGCTATTTATGAAAGTATTATTTTGTGTAAGTTTATATTCAAGCATTGTGTCTGTAGCAAGTCCCAGAGTGTTATCTCTGTACAACTTTACATAATTAAAGAGTGAGACACAGAGTGAACATCACTGAATCGGCTTCTCTATCAAAGGGTGGCCTTTCTTTGGCTTGCTGGTCCTGCACAAGTGTTGAGTCTGTGTGAATCGGAAGTCAGTAAAATAGGATTATGGTATGGAGGGATATATAGCAAAAAATTGTACAGATTTGTCTTAACTTGAAGTCATATTTTTGTAATGCCTTAATTAAACATTTAGTTCTGACCATTGCAGAAACTCAGTTACAGAACTTCTTTTTGGCAGGATGTGCCATTAATTTTTTTTTTTACTTTTTTTTTTTTACAGCTGAGATCACAGATGTGCCAGATGCTCCCAGCACCAGCATCTGTGTATTTGTTAAACTCCCATTGTGATCATGGTGCTGACTCACAACGAGTCTCAGCTTAGGGATATTGTGAGCCTCTTCTGCATGATGATTTAGTCTCCTCTGCTTTTCAAATAACAAAAAACATTGATGTGATCCAGTGCATAGCAGAAACAGTGCGATGAACTGCTACTTCAGCAGGAGATGTGAAATCACAGTAGTTGGTAATTGCCCAACTAATCACGCATCCTGAGCACACACAGACACACAGAGTTCTACTCAATCCGTGTCTGGGGGAGAGACCTGCAGATTGGGGATAACCTGGTGTGCCCCCTGGGGACAAGTCTTGTTATGCAATCAATTCCACTCATTGGTCATTTCAAAGATAAGTTAAGGGATCCAGTTTTGTGAAAAACTGAATTGCATACAATATGTGTAGAATACCAACCTAAATATGCATATAACTGTAGTGATAAAGAACATAGCAAGATGAATAATCACAGTCCAATACACTCAAATATATAAAAACACGTGGAAACAGTCATTTAGAAAAAGATGGAATACAAGAAATAATGTGAAGAAAAAACATTTAGTGAAGACCTGAGTGATGCAGGGACATCATGCAGAAGAGTTCTGGTCCTCGTTCCTTCTCTACAATAAAGGCACAGTTCAAATCTGCACCTTCTAATTCATCACTTCCTTGGTCATAGATGTTGGCTGAACCTTTTAAATGATGAGCTTTACAAAGAAGTATGCAAGTTCGTCGCTCTACTTGAAAAATCATGACAAAGTTTACAAATGCTAACTTCACAGATCTAACATTAAAGTGCAAATAAAACGGGAAAATTATCTAATATCCTGTTTTATAGTTATTGTCTTATTACTCCTTTATAATAAAGAAGCATGTCATACAGATAACAAAAGCTGAATAAGACTATAAAGCAGCTACCAGAAGAAATAAAATAAAATTAACTGTATGAAGCTCTAAGAACTATTATGGATTTTATAAAAGTATTTACTTAATACAATGCACTTAGAACTGAAAATGATAGGAAGGGACTTTGACAGGTGAGGACTTCATGGTAAATTAATGAAATTAATCATTGTTATGCTTCAGACTTTGCTACAAATCAGATCTTGAGCTTTAGAGAATTCAAATGTAAATAACATTTAAAATAATGCACCTCACCAAAAAATGTAATTTATCTTCAAAGGGAAAAAAGAATAAAGACCTTTCTTGTGCATTTATTAATAACACCAAGTAAAATGCTATGAGGTTAGAGCTCCTATATTTATAATATTTGCTCATATAGGGGATGGGAAATATCACTGTGTGCCATGTTTGTATTAAAAATGATTAAAGTTGAAGGCAATGAAATTTCTTGAGCTCCTGCTTATTCCTACAGATGACACCTGAAAGGATACATGCAGGAGGCAATGTTTCCACGGTGAGGCACTTTGTCCTGCTGGGGTTTTCGGACCTTCCAGAGCTCCAGGGCTTTCTGTCTGGGGTGTTCACCATCATTTACTTGGTCGTGCTAATTGGAAACAGCCTCATCATCACCATAACAATCCTGCACCCTGCACTACAGAGACCCATGTATTTTTTCCTGGCTAACTTTTCTTCTCTGGAAATCTGTTATGTTTCAGTCACTCTTCCTAGGATTCTGTTCAACCTTTGGACACAGAATAGGAACATTTCAGTGCTGGGCTGTGCCACACAACTGTGTTTCTTCCTTATGCTGGGAACCGCTGAGTGCTTCCTGCTGGCCGTGATGTCCTATGACCGCTATGTGGCCATCTGTCACCCTCTGCGCTATCCTCTGCTCATGAACCCAAAGAAGTGTGCTCAGCTGGCAACTGGCTCGTGGATGGGTCCAGTCCCAGTCCAGATAGGGCAAACGTGCCAGATCTTCTCTCTGCATTTCTGTAAGTCCAACCAAATCGCCCACTTCTTCTGTGACATACCCCCCATTCTCAAGCTGGCCTGCGGGGACACTTCTGCTCAAGAGGTATCTGCCTATTTGTTAACAATGCTGGTTGGTGCTGTCCCTTTCATGCTGATCTTTGCCTCTTATAGCAAAATCGTTTCCACCATTCTGAGGTTGCCAACAGCCCAAGGCCGGGCCAAGGCCTTCTCCACGTGCTCTTCCCACCTGCTGGTTGTGGTGCTATTCTTTGGGTCTGTTAGCATTACTTACTTCAGACCAAAGTCCAGCCACTCTGCAGGAACTGACACACTGCTGTCTCTCTTCTCTACTGTTGTGACTCCCATGTTCAACCCCTTCATTTATAGCCTCAGGAACAAGGCCGTGATTGTGGCACTGAGAAAGTTATTTTTTAAAAACACAGTACCATGATTCTCCTTGATGTTTTGGTCATATAGTTGCTGCCAGAGAACCATTTTAAAACTCTGCCGTCTCTGTTTGAGAAGTTAATGTGCTTTTATTACATTTATATCCAGGCTTGCAATATACTGTGCCTGGATGTATTGTGGACTTCAGGAAGCCATGCCTGGACATGGTAAATTAAATTTTCATGTGCATCAACTTTACCCTGTAAATCTATCTATTCAAAATTCTGTCATGTTGGTTCCATTTACTGGACATTATTTTCCTAAATGCCCATATAGTACTTGTGTTTTATTTTATACAGCATATAATATATTTTCCAGTAGTACTTAAACAATTAGTACTTATTGTGTGAGTGATTCAGTGAATGAGTAGACACCTGAATGATCCCTGAATAAATCTAGAGACATTGCATAACCAGCCAAAGAATTTATTTATTTCACTAACTGTGTAGGTCTATTTAGTTCTTTCGTATTGATTTCTGCAGAAAAGATCACAGTGTTTACCCTCTGCCTTATAATTTCCTAGGAGAATACCTTATAAAAGGCAACAGTTCTGCTTGCTTACACTGGTTTTATTTTGTACATATATTTTTATCCTTTATATTGTGGCTCCAATGAATGTCTTTTTAATTATTTAATCTGTGTACACATAATTGCAAATATGAAATTTTGTCAAATTATTTCTGTTGTTGATTAAAGTTCTCATGTATTTATTGCATTCGTTTACTTAAATTTTTTATTGCAATCCCAGATAAAGTGTGTAAAATTATTTAATATTTAAACTGATATGACTGAGGAAAGTGAGTGTGACTCAGTAGAATTCTGAATGCCCACCTTCACATGCAAGGGTCACAGGGATTTAGCTCAGTGGTTCCACTGCATGCCTTGCAAGTGAAAGGTCTTGAGATCGATCCCTGGTACAAAAAAAAAAAAAAAATTCAAGGGTCTCAAAAACATGAGCCCCTCTAAGACAATTTTGTTGCTGGGTTTTATATGACTGTTATTCCAGTTGGTAGTTTTAACTGATTGTAAGTATGTATACATGGCATGTGATGAGGGTCATCTTAGCTTTTCTTCTGAACATAGTTGTATTTCTCTGTTATTTACCCATTTGCACTTTCTACTATCTAACATATGACATTTCACTTTGCTCATATGCTTTCTTCATGTGAACCTGCATTTGTATACATCTTCACATGGTCTTGTATGTGCATCAAGTATTTGGCATCTGGTAGATGAGAAGGACTGTGCTAGTGACCACTGTGATGATGAATCCAGCAAATGCTAGCATTTAAGGTCCTTTTGCTAAAATATACAGTATAATTCACAGTGTTTTAGGTACAGGGCTGTCCAATGAATTCAGGAAACAATTTTTTTCCATGAAATTTATTCATACCTTTTAAGTATAGGTTATGATCACATCCAACCCTGGGAATCTGTATCTCTACATTGTATATCTTGGTTCTTCAATTCTCCCCATTCCCCTTCCCTCCCTTCTACCCCTCTGTCCCGCCCTATTTACAAAATTTCATTTCCATTTTTTTCTAATCTTCTTTTTGAGAAATTGTTGAGTAGTTAAACATAATTTGTTTTTTTTTCTCCAAAACTTTGCAATTAGTGAAATGGTGATTATGTACATTTTTTACTAAATTATAGGATCACTGTTAAGTAAAAACCCATACTCATGATATTTAAATATTGACAAAGCATTATATCTCAATTAATTGATATAATCACAGAGAGGTCTTCTGACCAAAGTGATATCCCTTAATATCAATTAAGTTGGAACATAGAACTACTTATTTGGATCTTCTCTTTCTTTACATGTCAATAATGCAATAATTTTAACCCTACTGAAAGACATCCTTTCTTTAAGATATTCTCTGAAATGAAGAGGCACAGTATGCAAACACTTTCATTAAACATGAGCACAGAAGACCTTGGGTGAGGAGAGGTTTACCGAGCAGTGCCGAGCGATGTGATGCCACCGGGCTCCTCTGTGGTAATTGACCTCGGTTAGGAATACAACGTAATGGGAACGTAAACTAGCACAGCCACTGCGGAAAGCATTGTAGAGGTTTGCAAAAACTAAAAGTAGACATTCCATTTGACTGAGCTATTTTCCTCTAAGCATCTCCCCTAAAGTGATAAATACAGGGATAGGTGCATACTCATGTTTATAGCAACTTAATTTATAACAGCTGGATCTTGTGAACAGCCTCTATGTCCATCGCCAGGAGAATGGATAAAGAAAGAAAGGGTGGTATTTGTGTGCAGTGGAGAAATACTCTGCCATAAAGAAACATAAAATTGACACATCTGTAGGCACACAGATAATATAAGAAGTGAAATAAGTCAGACACACAGCTTAAATATCACATGGTCTATTGCACATGAAATATTAAAAATCTATCATGATTGAAAATAGATACAAGGCTGGGGATTAGGCTCAGTAGCTCTGCCACCTGCCTTGCAAGAGCAAGGGCCTGAATTCGAATCCCAGGACCAAAAAAGAAAGAAAGAAAGAAAGAAAGAAAGAAAGAAAGAAAGAAAGAAAGCAAGCAAGCAAGCAAGCAAGCAAGCAAGCAAGCAAGAAAGAAAGAAAGAAAGAAAGAAAGAAAGAAAGAAAGAAAGAAAGAAAATAGATATATAGGGAGTGGAGAGGATTTTAAATAATTTCCCAAATTATCTGTTCTGTTGCTTGTAAAGTATTTTAAGATATATGATAAATTGATTTATTTATACTACTAGTGTTTTTGTTCATTGAAAAGAAAGTTTTGCCCATTTATTTTTCTTCATTTCTGTCTGTTTTTTAATTATGTTTATCTATGCATTTTACATATACAATACAGTGACGTTAATCACTGGGATCCTGTACCTTTACACGCCTTATCTTGGTTCTTGCTTTTCCCCATTCCCCAGCCCTCCCCTTAGCTCCTCCATCTTTCCTTGTTTACAAAGACATTGATTCCACGATTTTCCTTTTCACATATTTTTTCTTTTTTCCTTTTTACCTTTCCACTACCCCTCCCACTTCCTCTACCCCTTTAGGACTTTTCTTCCCATTACACAATATCAATTATACATTTGATCCTTATTTACGCTTTTACTTTTTCACACCACAGAAACTATTTCATAATTACATGTGTGTCTTATTAATTTTACTTAAGAGTATGACCTCGATGTGCATCCACTTAGCTATAAATCTCTCTAGTTTCGGGTTCTCTGTGGACGAGTACTACTTCATTTTATTAAAAATACCACATCTACTTTATCCAGTTTCCAGCTGATGGGCAATTGGGCTGTTTGCAAATTTTAGCTATGACAAACTGTGCCACTCTAAAAATGAGCCAGCATATATTGTTGTGGTATAATTCTTCTAATTCTTTCAGGAAGATACCCAGCAGAGGAATAGCTGGGTCAAATGAAGCTCTAGTCCTAGATCTTTGAGTTTTCTCCAAGTTGATTTCCACAGTGATTGCACCAGTCTGCACTCCCACCAATAATGAAGAAGAGTTCCTTTCTCCCCACAACCCCACCAGCATTTGTTACTCATTGATTTCTTGATAGCAGTGATTCTTTCTGGGGTGAGATGACATCTCAGTGTTGTTTTGATCTGCATCTCTCGAATGACCAGTGGTGTTGAACATTTTTTCAGATGTTTATTGGCTGCTTTTACTTCTTTGTCTGAGAAATGTCTGTTCATTTCAGATGCCCATTTTTGAATCGGGTCTTTATATTTGGTGGGGATCTGATTTTTTTGAGTTCTTTCTATATTCTGGATAGTAGACATTTGTCTTAGGAACAGCTGGTAAAAATGTTTTCCCACATTGTAGGTTGTCTCTTAGCTCTTCTGGTGATTTCTCTTGCAGTGCAGAAGCTTTTTAAAAAGATGAGATTCCAGTTGGTGATTCTTTGTGCATGTCTAAGTGTACATCTCTGTCTATGAATTGCACTCTGAGTGAAATTTCGTCAATCTTTTAAGGTCGTCATACTTAGTATGTTCACTGTTGTTGCTCTCTACCATCCTTGTTATGATATTTTGTTTTGTTTTCTTCATAGAAGAAGAAGACTGCTTTTTAAATTGTATTTATTAGCGCCCACTGGTTCCACACTGCAGCAAGACAAGCCAATGCCGCGGGAATCTGGCTCTGCCCAGGTGCTGGGATCTGCAGCCCTTGGCCTCAGCCTGGCCGCCTCTGCCCAGTCGCCTCTGAACCCCTTGCACTGCGGACCAAGGGCCCTGCAGATCTGGGGAGCGCTTTAAGCCTCACCCTGGGGAGATTATGCAGGCCGGCCCCAGCTGCTCCCAGGAGCCCTAGGAAGAGAAGGGAAAAGTCCTAAGCGCTGGCCCTGGGGAGGAAAAAAGAGCAAGGAGAGGGGAAGACGCAAATGTGGAGCAGAGCGCTACCACCTCGCGGTCCCCTGGCTGCCGAGGCTGGGGGTCCCAAGCCTGAGGCCAGCGCGGGCTCCAGTCAGACCAGGTCCATGAGAGGAGAGGAAGAAGGTGGGAGGTGGTGCCCAGCAGGAGACTCGCTGCGCTGGCTAACTTGGGGTGCTGTCCTGACCGAAGGGAATCCCTTGTCTCCTCAGTCTCCCTGCGTTGCGCTTAGGAAGTGTTCGCCCATTAAAGGAAGGTTTTTCGTGACTGCAGGGAGTACAGCGCATTCCCATAGCTGGTGGAGCCGGCATCATCCAGTCAGCCGTGGAGGGCACAGGAGAGTCTGCGCCTCACCTGGACGGGAGGGGACACTCCCGCTTGGCTGCCTGCAAAATGCAACACTGGCCCTGATACTGTCTCGGGTGTGAACTGCGGCAGAGGATTCTGCTGGGTCTCAGCCCAGGGGAGCTGTAAACAGATCCATGCAAGGAGCTGTTGGACACCTTTGTAACCATATTGGATCTAAGCCGTTTGCTGTCCTAGATCTCGGACAGCCAGTGCCCCTGTAGAATGTCAGATTTATTAGGCTTCATAATCAGGTGGATAATTTCTTATACTAAATACAGTCCATAAGGCGAATATATAAGTACACAAAATTCTCACTGGATGATCTGTCTATATATCTGTCTACACAGACATACATTAGCAATGTGAAGGCACCTATGCAGATTACCACTACTAGTATTTCTAGTGCTATTGCTGGAGTGTCTTTAGAAAAAATATTTGCAATTATATTAACTTTGATTATTATTCTGTAGGTGTCCTTAAAATGGAATGTTTAAAATCTTTGAATATTTAGCAATGGTGCGACATGTGTGTCAAACGTTTATGTTCTATAAATAAAACTATTCATCGGGCCGTTTGAGCACAGCTGCTCCCTTGGTCAGCAACTCCTGGAGCTCCTGAAAGGGCTTTACGCTGCCCTGACTCAGCTCTGTGCCTCTGAAGCAAAACCCACGAGAGGGGAAGCACCTGTGTCCCCAGTGATGTACCTCAAACATCGCTCACAATGTAGAATACCAGCTCAATGTCCTCATTATATTACTATGAGCCTGCATAAAAAACAGGCTCAGAGTGAAACAGGGAGCTAATACTAAAAATATGTCTTACTCTAAGTTAATATATAAAAAATGCTTTGGAAGCTGGACATGGTGGTGCACGCCTGTAATCCCAGCACTCTGGAGGCTGAGGCAGGAGGATCACTGTGAGCTCAAGACAAGTCTGGGCTACAAACTGAGTTCCATGGACAGCTTGGCAAACCATGAGGGACAGTCAGGCCCAGTCTCAAAGTGGTCACACTATTTACCACAACTTAATTTGATTTTTGTTTTGGTTTTTTTTTTTTTTTTTTTTTTTTTTTTTTTTTTTTTTTTTTTTTGAG